CGTCCATCAGATTGCCAGAGTCGTCACTCCAGAAAACAAGTCTTCACTGCTCTAGAGTCCAGTGGTGACGTGCTTTACATTACTGCATCCAATGCTTTGCATTGAGCTTGGTGATGTAAGACTTTCATGTGGTTTCTTTGCCATGCAAACCCATTCTATGAAGCTCCCTACACACTGCTGTTGAGCTAATCTGAAGTCCACATGAAGTTTGGGGGTTTGCAGCGATTGACTCTGCAGAAAGTTGGCGACCTTACAAGGTGCTTCATGGTTGATTGCTTATGACTTCCGCTTTGTTATAATACCACTAACAGCTGACTCTGGACTATTTAGTAGTGAGGGAGTTTCACGATTGGACCTATTGCAAAGGCAACATCCTATCAAGGTACCACACTTGAATTCACTGAGCGACCGATTTTTAAAATATGTTTGTAGAGCATTAAAGGTGATTGATTTTATACAACTATGACTGTGGGAGTGATTGGAACACCTGAATTCAATGGTTGGTAGGTGAGTGAATACCTTTGGCAATGTAGCTTAGGATGATGTAATGTCACAAGACACTCACTGGACAGAACTACATGGGAACTTGTTTTACAAAGACAGCATTCATCTTGAATACTGAAGATGCTTTGTTTGTCTTATTTAATTAATGTTATGTCTCTTGCAGCTCTTGCTTCACATGACTACATATTGAAGATTGTACCAACAGTGTATGAAGACCTCTCAGGCAGACAGAGGTTCTCTTATCAGTACACAGTAGCCAATAAGGTACCGCATCCCTGCACTCATTAGCTGATGACCTTTTCTCATCATAGAGGCAAGCGCGTCCATGTCGGCATACGGCCGGAGCACGTATAGCTCGTGTTAACATTGCACTCATCTGAAAGTGAAAGCTCAATCCTAGTGACTGGAAAAACTCTCAAGATGTCAACAAACCATAAAGGAAAAAAAGAAAAAACACTTCCTGGAACTGTGTAGGAAGACAGCTGGGAGTGGAGTGTGGAATAATAACACTGCAGGTCAGCTGTGAAGAAGGGACAATAAGGGCCTGAGCAAAATATTTCCAAAACCTAATTTCCAAAGCGTAAATAGTGGTCCAGCTGAGGCCCGCATCCGAGCTTGGACTGCGACATTCTTCTGCGTTGTGTTAAATGTGTTTAATGTGGTCAACATTATTGTGTCGGGCAGTTACTGCAGCACTGATTTTGGAGAAATGGATTTATATATACCGCCTGATAACGTTGTCAGCTCGTAACAATAATTCAATTTACATTGTAGCCTCCTCGAGATTGCTTCATTGGAATAATATTCAGCTGAGATTCATTTTTATTGAATCATTTATGACTGTGGAGTGACTTATTCCGAAACTGATTCTGTAGTGACTCACAAACACCACTGCCACCGCTGTAGATGAGAATATGTGCCGATTTATTTTATAAACGTAATGGGATTAAGTTCCTCACTTGTAATCTTTTTTTTTTTTTTCCCCCCCACACACAGGAATATGTTGCTTACAGCCACACGGGAAGAATTATCCCAGCGATCTGGTTCAGGTACGATCTCAGTCCGATCACAGTGAAGTACACGGAGCGGAGACAGCCCCTCTACCGCTTCATCACAACAGTGAGTAAACACAAAGCCCGCGGCCCCAAAGCTGTTTACAAAAGCCGCTTTTATTTGAATTGCAGGTCTTTCAAGTTCAAGTCCAAAGATCAACTTTTTACTATCCTGTGCAAAAGTCTTGAACCACACCTTATTTCATTATATTTTGCTTTCAATGAGCCAGATATTCTTGAATTGTTTTTAAAGGGCTTAAGTAATAATTTTCCAGCTTTTCTGAAAGTCTTTCACAGTTTTTCTCTGGACTTCGGCTGCTTTTTCACTCATTTTCAGTCGTGTACGTGACCTTTTCTGTTTGTTTGTTATGCCACCTATGAATCATTCAAGGATAGAAAAGGCACCTGACTCAGTGAATGAACTAGTGTTGTGTTTACACATAACAGACAACTCGGCAAATAACATATTTTAAATCGTATCTTTAGGCACTTTGTTTTTATCACAAAAGCACCTTTATTCCAGTTTCTTTAGTTAAGTCTATGAAAAATGTCAAAGATAACAGTTTTTATGCCGTGTGGCATAAAATAGGATTTGCGCAACAACAAAGTGATTCCCAAAGAGCTGGAGACTTAAAAAAAATGAGAAAACTGTAGAAATAGATGACAGCAGAAGACATGTCAGGCATGTTCTGAAGAAATTGACCTGAGAGATGCATCTGGCCCTTCAGTTGATTCATCTGCTGTTCGCTAAAGTTGAATTAAAATTTGATCTCAGTGTAAGGGTAGCGGTCAAGAAGCCGTTCTTAAGGAAGGGAAATGAGGAGACAAATTCGTGCATTTTAGCTAAATATCTCAGCTTTGTGATTGAACATCTTCACTGCCCAGTAACAGATAGAAAATAAGCCGTTCAAATGTTTGCTAACATGGTTAAGAATAATGCTGCTGGGTTGATCTCTGATCAAAGCCTGGCTAGCCGTTCCCTCCTTTTTCTAGTTTTTGTGCTAACCAAAGTCTAACCATCTTCTGAATGAAGCTTTCGTGGTGTTGGTATGAAACTTAATGACCATTTCCTAACTCACTGAACTCCCTTTGTCTTCCTCAACTCCCTTTGTCATCGGTGGAATTTTGGCGTAGCCTGTAGCACCTCATCAGAAAGTTTCCTGTTGACTGATAATGCGGTCAGGCTTGAGTTGGCAGCCTGCCTGATGAGCTACACCATTATTCGTCTTGTGTGTTGTTTAGGTTTATCATGACTTAAGGCATGGGTAGGTGATGACTGTGTTTTTAATGTGATCATGAGTCACGGCTCAAGATTGTGAGTCAGCCTACAGCAGGGCTTTTTGTTGGATTCCTATAAATTCCGTGGCGTTGGCGCAGAGCATTGTTTTGATAAATAGGATTAGGCCCAGCTGATATTGAGACTTAAGAAGAAGACATCAAAGCTCTGAAATATGAAGCCTGACAGGATCGTTTTTTCATTTTCTTTCTTTTTTTTGTAGATTTGTGCCATCGTCGGAGGGACGTTCACAGTCGCGGGGATCATCGACTCCTGTATTTTCACTGCTTCTGAGGCCTGGAAGAAGATACAGATTGGCAAAATGTCATGATGACTGTTTCCAACCCTCTCCTCACATCTTATTTATAAGTGCAAAGTTGCTAGCCTGTTAGCTAAATCCAGTCCGAAACGACCTCCTTCAGGAGATTGTATCACCTTGTCCATATAAGAGTCTCGGGCACTTGATTTAACTACCAGGCTGCAGGGATGCGTCTGTTTTATTAAAGATCCTCTCGGGCTCCTTCTGCTCCAGTGACGTGAGAATGCTGACTATCACATGTTGGCTTCCTCCATCTTCAGTGTCAGGAGGGGAAAGGAGAGGAGATGATATCTTTTGTTACTGAGTGTGCCAGGGATTCATTCTGTATTTTTTTTTTTCTTTAAACGTTGCAGCTGATATATTTAGAATGACACGAAAGAATAATAATAGACATCCACATATATTAAATCAAAGGAACATTTTTTTAATCATGGGTATAGGAAATGATATAATTCAGGGAGTAAATGGCATCAAAACAGGATCATCTCAGCCAGATGTGTTGTAAATTAGGAGACCAATTTAGATTTTTGGTCCTCGTGTGAAGGAAGTATTGTCAGGGTTCATAAAACGTGCAGAGGACGGGATGAAATCTAAAGCGTAGTGTGTACAAATAGCATTTTGTGTCATGTAGCGTGGTCTGTCGTTTTTATCTCCAGTATTCCACCTGTGTGCCTTTTGGCTTACTGTTAAACCGTACAGGATCATCACCAGCTCTCTTTGTGCCACTGAAAGCTTTTCAGTTTCTCCTGCTTGTTTCAGTATCGGTGCAGCATTTATCATTGTTTACTTTACAGTCTCTAGTTTCCACTTTATTTCTACTCAGTCTCAGTGATGGCAAAAATATAGTGAATGTCTGTGTTTGTTTGTTTTTCTATTCTTTTTTGTTTGTTTGTTTATTTACATGGTACATGATTTTTTTTCAAAAAAGAATTTTGGTGTGGTTTCAATAAAGGTTTGTTTTTAAAAGGGACAAACCTGTTCATCAGGGCCTCTGCTTCCTTTTATTCTGTTGTCATTACAACACTCCCTGTTATGTCAGTGATCATCGCTGAGTTAAAAGCACCTTAAAACCTGTTTTTCTACTCTGAGTACCATCCTTTTCTCTTTAACGCTCAAATTACTGTAATCCCTGCGCTGTCCTCAGAGGTTACGATAAAGGTTACTCTGGTATGATTCGTGTTTCCAAAAAAACCTCAGAAAGTGATCTGTGAACGAGTTTTGGCTTTAAAAATTTTAGGTGTCTTTTTATTTCTTTTAGCTTCTTTAAACTGCAAGAAATGTATTTGTAATAAAAAGTCAAATTATGAAGGCCATATTATGACTTTTTACCTGAACAACATGGTAACGATTATTCTTAGAAGCTGAAAGTGGCACCTTTGTGTCTCTGACTTTGTATACGCTCACTCTCCTAGCTGTAAATGTCACAAAGTGGACTTTGCACCAAGCCGGTTCTCATTTCCCTCAGCTGGCAGCCTGGGACAACACCCTGCAGGCTGTCATTTGTGATGTGAGCTTGTAAGAGGGCGTTAAGCTGTTACAGCTATCATCGTGCAAGCGTCCAGCTCTGATAAAGGTGCTTACCGTGAGTCACTCCTTTTATTCCCCCTCCATCCCTCTGTTTACTTCCATCACTTATTAGCAATGTTGTGAGTCTAAGTGTGTCCACCTCCACTGAATGACACAGATGCCACAAATATCTGTTTACTTCGCTGACTAAATCACAGATCTTGTGGCTCTTTCTCATTGTGGGCCAAAACACAAATTGACACTTTACTCCACTGAAGTACAGCTTTTACGACAGATCCAACTCTAAATTCATATTCATCATTGGGGAAAAAACAAGCAGAAGGAGATAAAATTCTTTATTTCCTCTTGTATGAGTCATAATTTGCACAAATAAAGAAAGAATTCTCTGCATATAAAAGATAAAAATATATATATGTGTGTGACTAGAAAATACTTGTGGTTTGTTTTTGTCATAATGCTGCCACGCAGTGGCTGGTTAGAGGAACTTCAGGCACATGTAGCTCAGTCCATTTGTTGAGGCAACAGTCTGAGAGAAGAAGGATTTCGAGATGAGAAAGTAATCATGAGAATCTAAAACCTGATCTTCAATATATAAAAAAAAGACTAGTTACATGTCAATACTGAGATGTTACTGCAAACCATCCTCAACCTCAGCTGTCTGTGTTAAACCCCTTTTTTATGCATCTTTGGTAAAATTACACATTCGAAGAGGCCGGGGAGGTGGTGTTCGGTGAGGAGTAGAAGTCACAGAAGCCCTCCTCGGACAGGTGTCCGTACTCGTTGTTGTAGAAGGTCTGACCTGACAGCTGGCTGAAGAAGTTGGGCCGGAGCCTGGAGCTGCCTGTGGCATGGCTTTGATCTGGGGAACTGTGGGAGGCTGTCAGAGGCTCCGTGCTGCTGCTACTGTTTATACGACTGAGGAAAGAAGGAAAAAAATTACAGACTCCCAACTCAGGCTAAACAACTTTCTGTGAATTTTGATTGATACAATTCTCTATAACCTAGATAATCATTGTTGAACTCCCCTGTTTATTACCATGAGCTTATTATTGCAAGACAGTCCCGAATACACCAATCCCCAGCATGTACACTTACGAAATATTTGTGCAAAATGATGGAGCCCAGCTGCTTGAAGACATTATTAAGCAAAAGACTTTCAGAGGCACCAAAGATACTGACACACTGATTTAATATACGTACTATATTATATATTATGTAATATATCCTCTAAAGAATGGGATAGTTTATTTATTTTTGACTCCTTTTTGATCAGAGCATCTGCTCACATAGGCTCCTCCTACACTTTACTGTAGGAGTAAGTTCTCCATAAAAACATGCTTTTTTCACTTTTAGTTTATGTTGGCTTTTTACAACATTGCAACTCTCAAAATGTTGCTAATACCCAGGTTTGAATGACTCAGACAGTTGTTTACTCCCACTTACCCATGCATAGATCGAGACTGCACTGATGCTTACTTCCTTTGCAAATCTAGTTTCGTTCCACATAAAGCAGCGGGTGACTATTCTGCAGTTTCCGAGCAAAAGAAAGCAAATGTTTTCTCGTATTGACTCTGAAACATGTGGAGCATAAAGGCATTCATTTCTAAAGTTTTTCTTTAACTCGACAGTCATTGTGTTGTTTCATGGTGAGAAATTAGTGTGTAGCGGTCCAAATGTCAGATGGTGTGACTAAACAGCTGGCTGCGTACGTCTAGTGCTTCGATTCCAGTTTTCACAGATATTCAGATTTTTGCTTTCATATCATTTAACCTTTTCAAGACAACACCCCCGTGGTTGTGCTCAATTCTCTCAAATTCTTCGGAGGCCAGAACCATCCCGCTGTCCGTCTGGTTGTCCTAGAGGAAAAAAGACACAGGTTGACGCAGGTGCTACATCTGTCTCGACCAAGAACGACCATTTTTAGTAATAAACATAGGTGATAATGTCTAAGTCTGAAAAAGCTTTCAGAAAATGTCACCAGTCAGTTCACATTTTCCAATAGCTGATAAGAGGATAAGAAGCTTACTTGAGGAGGTTTCTGTGGATGCATCTCAAGAGGCAACTCTTCAAAGGTCTTCACTCTGGGCTGGCATATTTTGGACGGCCCCACGAACACACAGCCAGCAAAGGGCACACAATTATAATACCTGACCGAAAGACAGAGAAAAGGCAATGATCGCAAACAAACTTGAGCTGCATATTGCATTTCTATTTTTAATAATTGAAACACAAATTTCAGTTTACCAGCATTTTTTGGACATTAATTGGAATCTTTACACAGCTATTGGAATCATTATATGTTGTATTTATGATGCATTATGTTCATGACAAAAAGTGACAGTTTGATAAATCCAACAATAACAATCTGCTGTATCATTCATATCGTTTTATGGGGTCTGGTGGATAAAAGGGGATTGCTCTCTTGTACCTTGTGGGCATAGTGTTGCAAGCGAGTCTCAGTTCTTCCTCAGATGGCGGGCGCGAAGAGGCTTGAGAGAAACCATCGTCTTCAGAGTTCTGTGAGTGGTTCAGGGGGATGTAGTCCTTCCCATCCTGAAGGAAATAAGAACAAGATCCAGACCCCAAGAAAGAAAAACTACAGAAGAAAGTTGGAGACATTATCTCTCCAGCAGAACTTACAGGTAGACTGTTGTCCTGCAGCAGGTCTCCCAGGATCTGGACCAAGGCGGGGAAGGTGGGCCTCTCTTTTGGCTCGCCCTGCCAGCAGGCCAGCATGATGCCATATCTACCAGCAGAGGGCAGCGCAGTCTTAACAAGCATAACAGCCTCAAATGCATCTACAAATGCCATCCTACATTGTTCCCTAGATGTGCAAATCAACTTAATGACATTAAAACGGAAGTCATTCTTCTAACTGGTTTACCCAGTTAAAGACATTAAGAGCAATATTTTCTTCCTGAAAGCAGAAGCATTTTTTTTCTCGAAGATGCGGAAAGAAAGAGAGAAACTAAATGCTTACATTTCAGGAGAGGCAGTCTCCGGTGCTCTCATCCTGACGCCCTCTTTCAATCGCTTGCAAAACTCTTCGTCAATCTGTACCCCCGGATACGGAGATGCACCTAAGAAAAGACCAACATCAACCACCACATTAGGAACAGGAAGACAAATGACTGAGTACTTGTATAATAGGGATGCTGATTCGTTCTGCTAGTAAAAGTTCATTGCTTTTGGCACCGGCTGACATTTATAAATATTTTCAATCACAAGAGACTGAGTTCTGCACAGATGACATAAAAGATGCGTGTGCATGTGTTATGATTCCGACTTCTTACCGAGTGAAAAGATTTCCCAAAGGAGAACTCCAAAGGACCACACGTCACTCTGGCTGGTGTACACTTTGTCAAAGATGCTCTCTGGGGCCATCCACTTCAAAGGGAGGCGAGCCTGAGAGAACATTAAAACAGATATGACAGGCAGATAAAACACAGCTGAGACTCGCCATTAAAAGTAATCTTTATGTGGGTGGATAAAAAGAAATAATAACAATTAAAAAGTGTATTCTTTCCCGGGAAGCTAAAGTGGTGACATACGTTGCCTTTCCTGACGTAGTCGGGGTCTTTGTAAATGTCTCGGGCCAGCCCAAAATCACAGATCTTCACAATGTTGTTCTCTGACAGGAGGATGTTACGGGCGGCCAGGTCTCTGTGGATACACTGTGGATACACACAGGACCACGCATACATCATAACTCCGCAGACAGGTGTTTGAGCATGTGCGTGATTTTTAAGTGGTTGCATGCGCGGTGTCCGCCTTGTTTCCTCTGCGTAAGTGTTATTTGGGAGAGTGTACCATTGACCATTTTTTAAAACCAGGGAGTGTGTTTGTGTCTGCGTGTGCCAGTTTGTAACTGGGGCTGAACTGTATCTCTTCCAGCACCCTTCACAAACCTGGCAAGCAAACACAGCTTTGAGTGGTTTGGGGGAGTCAAATAAAGCCAGCCAGTCTGCTGTTGTAAGTCTCAGTATCACATTCATTACAAGTTGCAGCTGCTCCCTTTTTTCCGATTTAATCGTTTATCCAGTTACAGTGCAATGAACCATAGCAATGCGTATCAGTGTTTTGGTAAAACACAATTTTTAAAAGCTTATTTTGACAGTGTTTTGAGTTCATGGGGATCAAATCAGCTCACTGTCAAACTGAAACAATCCAATAACACACCTCTCTAACGCCTGGAAAATGTGAGAATTCAGTTTGCATCGAAGTGCTTTGAAACATCTCTGCTGTTTGCGAGGAGTATTCCTCAAAATTAAAACACAATCTTAATTTTATTGCTTTACTTGTACCTGAATGCTTTTAATGTCATTTTATGTGCAGACAAAACTTCCATTCTAAGTTGATTTCATGTTTTTTTAATATTCATGAATTTTTAAAAAGTCATATAATTTTAAATCAGTTTAGTCCTATCTCTTGGACTTCAATAAAAACTGCTCTGAGAAAAGCTCACCTCTTATCTCTGAAGTCAAAAGATTTTGCTCGTTAGACAGTATAACTCAGGAGGCCTAGATACTTTGTGATAACACTCCTGATGCACTTCCAGTGTCAAGGTCAGGTGGCAGAGTCGCTATAAGAAATGACAAGTACTTAGGAATTGTGCTTAATATTTAAATTGAGTAGTCCCAGTTTATACTACTGTGTATTTTCTCCACATTACCAGAGCAACAAATGCAGTTGCTGCAGAACAGATTGAATGATCGCTTCATTAATCATAATACACTACTGTTTTTAACCTGCTCACATGTATTTCGAGTATCTAAAATAAATTTGAACATAAAAGGCACTATAATAATATAACAATACCGGTAATAATAAAATAGTGATCATACAGGGTAACAGAATATATAAAATACCATAACACGTCAAGCGCCTCTACAAACTGTGCTATTTCTAAGCTGGGATTTAGTTTCTTTTTCATGTTGTCTATGCAGTTAGTACACAACGATTGTCTACTTTAAACACGCACCAGTAATTGCTCTCATAAAGAGAACAAATCTTAGTTACGGTGTATAAAGTCTCACCACTAGATGTCAGTAGATTGAAGCTAAATGAAATGCACAAGCCTAGCTACGGTGGCCACTGTAGGACAAGTAATCTGTAGCGAGTCTAGGCTTTAGTCCAGCTGTCGAGATTTACATTGGTGTAACTAACATTGCTGAACAGTGACGCTTAGCGAGTAAACTCTTGTACGATGTGAGAATTTAATCAAAGTGTTTGTCGGATGGAACGTGTGATATTTAGGACAATTTTTTGAACAGCCTAACATTAGCTGGCATACTGTTAGCTTATAGCGTTGTGCGCTGTCTGGAGATGGGAGGGTTGTATCCAATCTGCTTCGATGAGTTCAGTTCATCGACGAGGTTTGAGGTAAGGATGAACAGGATTACATTTTATTCTGATGCCGGTTGCATTGTCTGTATTTTTTAATGGTTTCAATATTTTAAACTCAAAAGAAAACAACGGATAATGGTACCTTTAAATGACATTTAATGTATTGATGCTGTGTTGATGCTGGTGACTTTATTGTTCTTGTATACAATGTATTGGTATTTATGGTAGTACTTCCCAGGTTCAAGTCTTTTTCCATCAGCAATGGTAACTACACTCTTCTTTTGTGGCGTATCTCAAGGTTCCATTCTGGGTCCAGTTTCCTTTGTTATGCTATCACTGGGGCTATATTTGTAACATAAACCCTTGCCAATTCTGGTAAGCAATGCCTCTGTCAATTCCTTAACCTGTTCTTTAGTTGATGTTAAAACCTTAAGAGTAATTAGTGATTCAGCAGGCAGTTACACCATCCCCTAACGTCTTCATATTTTGTGTCCTCGGCATCATATTTTAAACCTCAGGAAAAGAATCAGTGTTATTTCTGTTTCTTTTCTTAAGTTTGATTTCCAGATTATATCAGCTGTTAAAGACAACTTTTTTCTTTTTAATTAATAAATTTCTTTCTGTTATTGACTCTGAAATGGTAATTTGTGCTTTCATCACAGTTGGTCTGAGTTGTTGTATGTTGGACTGAGAAAACCACTAATATCATAACTGCAATCAATTCAAAATGCCAATGTTAAACCTTTTTTTTTTTTTCTTCATTAAAAATCTTTCTAATTTAATTTGTGTATTGCACTGTGGCATCAATGCAAAAACATCCATATTCTTCTGCTAGTTTTAAACTGGGGATCATTGTTAGGCACAAAGGACTGAAAAGTTGATGGTAAATGAAATGCACTCACATAGTGTCCTTCCACCTTAGTGCACAAAACACTTAACCGCTCAGTTACCCATTCAGATGCATACTCTATGCCAGTGGAGCTGTCACAGGAAGCATGGCAGAACATGACACTCTGAGCCAAGGGATCGGAGATGCCAAGCATTAGCGGTTGACCCTGCTCTACCACCTGAGCCACTGTGGACCCCTCATAAATGCCCCAAACTACAAGCCGCTGCCTCTGAAGCTAACCTCCGGTGACAATTCATCACAGCTTAATCATTAATTGTCCACACTGTAATGCTGAGAATTAACCTTTCTGGAAGCCAGGAACTCCATCCCACGAGCCACCTGGAAACTGTAGCAAATCAAATCTTCTATCGTCAGAGGAGTTTTCCACAAGTCCTCCACTGGAGAGAGAGAAGGAGAGGATGAGGGCAGTCACGGCGAGAAAAGAAAACAGCGCGGTGCGGGATGAGGAGTTCAATCACATAAAATGACTCACTTTTCTCTACAGCGGGAGTCTGACTGGACGTATTGGATGATGGACTCTGAGAAGCGGTGAGCGGGGAGGAGGATGGAGAGGGCGGTTGACGAGTCCTCTGGGCAATCTGACCCGCTTCAATCATCCGCCTCACCTGGCTCTGGGTTTTTGGAGAGCGATCCTAAGTGGGGAAGCGTTTCAATGAATCATCTCAAAAATCAATATCGGGCTTAAGACTTACAGAACATGGCAGATAACTGAGTTTGTGAACAGAAACTACATAAAGGGGACAAAGCAGAGGTAGAAAAATGAGACAGACTAAAAGGTAAAAATGAAAACATGATTACAGATAGTCTTTCTGAGCTTTGAGCTGCCATCAGAGAACAAATGTGAAAGTGCTTGAATAAATTGCTTGAGTTCTGCAGCGCTGTGTTACCCTGTAAGGGAGGAAGAACTCTCTCTTGGCTCGTAGGAAGTTGGAGAGATTCCCATACTTGCAGTATTCCACAATCACCATCAGCGGGCCTGGTAACAGAGATGTTTCAAATGTTTCAGCACATGTTCACTGCTCGTCTACAAGCTCTTTTTTTGTCTTTTCTCGCACCGTATCTGAAATAGAGACGCTGCAGCTTGAGCTGGACCATTTCCCGCCTGAGATTAGCTGCCTGGCTGCTTTTTGTTTAGGATAAACACTTTCAGATGTCCGTGACTCAAAAATATTCTCTATAGGTCAAAATCATGCATGGGTGAAAGGGAAAAGAATGAAGGCATCTGTTTTACCTCTCATTTGGTTACAGGCTATAAGGGAAAGGGGGGTGGACAAAATGATGTAAGGACTTTTACACTGAACAGGACAAAAGAGCAGAGCCGGAACATGAAGCTTTCCCAAAAATACTGACAGAGGAAAATAGATGATCAAAGGCTGAAACAGTGACAACATTACCAAAACAATCCTACCTTCATTTATCTTGTTAGGTGACTGTGTGCAAATGTATTTAATACACTATATGGACACGAGTACTGGGCCACCTCCAGATTACACCTACAGGTGCTCTTCGGCCATGGAAACCCAAGCTACGAAGCTATTGGTACACAGTATTTGTGCTGATGTTAATGCCAAAGCAGATTTGGAACTGTCACTCTATATGGTCTGCTACTTTGAAGTTCAATCAATGTGGTTTCTAAACACTTGTACTAATATTACTAATACCACTTATTACATTCTAAAAATAGGATTTTGCAAACATAATCCATGTAATTCTTTGGCCTCACCATTTGGTTTGGTGCAGGCTCCCAGGAGGTTTACTACATTCAGATGGTTGCCAATGTGAATCAGTATCTTTAACTCTGACATCAAGGCTTTGTGTTCACTGGCCGTGGCTCCGTCTGCAATACAAAGTGAAATGTTCCAAATAAAACACATCACATTGTGTATTTTGACGTGTGCATATCTTGTACAAACATGAACTGCGTGGGCTGCACTGCACTGCAATTTCTCCTAACTTTGATTACTCTGACTGCATCAAATCTGTTTAGCATTTGCTTCACTTTGGGTAACCTTCCAAGAACATAAACACACAAAGCCAAATCTCACCCTTCAGCATCTTGACAGCCACCGTGTCCAAACCTTTGCTCTTGCTAATGCCGTAGATTGATGCTTCAATTACTTTTCCAAAGGCACCGTGCCCTAAAACTTTTCCTGTGTCAAGAGAAAGAGCAGAAAATCAACAAGATATTCATGCTTATTGATTGATGCGTGCTTGATTTTAGCCTCACTGGAATACATAAACAGTTCCATCTGCAATGGGAAAAAAATTGCAGATGGCATCCATGGAGACAAGGAGGAGCAACGGGACATTAGACAACATGCTCCCATAAGTTGCTGTCGTGGAACAGATGCTTTTCTTCTGGGCATTTTTAAAAAGCTGTTCTGGGAATGAGCACATATTTAACATTAGCACTATTGCTGGCAGCGCTCTATCCAGTTGGCAGCAATCCAGAATCATGCCATTATGGATTGTGGAAATGCAAAAGTAATTCAGTTTCACCCATCTATTTGCCTCTCATCCACTCCTGCTCATGTCCTCACACATACCTCAGGCTCCTATGCTACTTTAGCAACCATCCCTTTTTTCTCACTGTTCCTTGTTACCCACCTAGCCGGAGTCTGTCTCTGGAGATCTCCCACTGCGATGAGTCGTAGGGCAGGTATTCGCACTGCTCATCCAGTGGCACCTCCCCCGGGTCCATAATGATTGACAGATAACCTGTCTTTATGTCTGCTGGGTTAACCTGAAGTTCAAGGTGAGACGAGAGGTGGGCTGAATAACAGGGAATCTTGGAAAGGAAGCGCTTGGACACGCAGCGCAAATGTGAAACGTAAATAACACGAGGACAGAAAGAAGGAAAGGTCGATGGTATACTGCAAACGAGTGAAATTACCTTTAGTCATGCTCTTATTAGAGTTAGAAATATGTCAGCATGCTCTTTTAAAGCACATTTAGTGTTTTTCTTTTATTGCTGAAAGCAAAGAAAATGATTTGTATTGAAATATTAAATAAAGTGGCCCATCTGCGCTTGACTGACAGCAGCCACTGAAAGCCACCGAAGGATGAGGCATTGTTAGCAGGAGTCTTCATGACCTCATCACTAACTAAATGCTGCAGCTGATAAGCTTAGTAGCTACTTAGCATGCAAAGTGACATTAGTAATGCACTTTTAGGGAGTGAATGTTTGTCTGGTGGCTTAAGCACAGGCCGTGTGCATTTGCGGTGCTGTGTACAAAGCATTAAAAGCACACTTTTAAAAAGTAAATGCTTTTGTGCTCTGTGTTTGTCTCTGGATGTGTATTTAGTTAAAGGACACCTGTTTTTTTTTTTGTTTGTTTGTTTGGCAGCCTTCAAAGCCCAACATGCAACAGCAGCCATGTTGACTTGAAACAGAAGGTAAACACGGGTGTTGCTGATGTCATTAACTGAGCTTCTTTTCTATTCAGGAGTGAGAGCAACACCTTTGTTTACTGCCTATTACTGTAGTTACATGTGGTATGTTCATGTTGTGTTTACATATGTTTTATAGCCTCCTGTCATGACCTGGCATTTGTTAGTGTTAGTGTGATGCTACGGTTGCAGTTAAGTTGCAATGCAATCTAACTAGCTAAGATGAAGACCTTAAAGTATTCTGTTCAATTGTTACTATTAAAAGTGCTGATCCAAATAAAATATGTCAAATATGTCCTGTACAAAGTACAGCCTTCTTCAATTTTAAGGTTTTATATAACAGGACATCATAAAAAAATAATTTGGTCTTTAGCAGGTCATAACATTAGGCAAATACAATCTGAGATGAACATTTACACCTGACAGGTGACACTGCGTCATTATTTATTTAACAAAAATCGAACCACTAATGCAGAAGCAAAGAGTAAACAACTAAGTGCATCCTTTTTGCTTCCACATGAATTAAGAGGTAGACAAGTGCTGCTAATGGTAAAATGGACTGGTACTTCTATAATGCCTTCACCCAGTCATACACATTCATAAAGCACTAAATTTCATGCCTAAGCAATTTTATCTAACATTCAAACACACACTCACACTCAAATGTATGCATTTGAGTGTGAGATTCAGTACTTTGCCCAAGGATACTTCGACAGACTGGATGATCAATCAATCCACCCACCTACCTATTGATTGAGGACCCAGTCTACCACCTGAACCACAGCTGAAATCAAATGTACTCGAGTAACTGATTATCAGCAAGTTAAGTGCATCGGCACATCAGTGAGCACCTTGTAAAAGCAGAAGTTTGTTGGTCTGGAGAATTCAGGTGTGTGTTAACATAATGACAGTCTTCCCAGGATTGGGCACCTTAGCACATCCACCCCAGTGTTAGATCGTGCAATACTCTGAGAGGCTGCAAAAAAACCCAAGAGCTACACCAAAGACTCTATAGGCCTCAGTGAGGAGATTAAATGTTACAGTTAAGTAGAAAACCCTCATCTCTCTATAAAACCAACATGGCAGCACAGCTTAGGTTTGAAAAGTTAGGTTTAGGTTTGAAAGGTTGCATTTGGAACAATGTGCTCTGGACAGACAAGACTAAATTGGAGATGTCTGACCATAATACACATCATTAGAAAGGTATTTGAGAAAAATGGAGCATAGAGGAGCAGAGCTAGAGACAGACGAAAGGTGGAGAGACAAACATTGAGACGCTGCAAGCAAGACGGAGAGAAAAAAAAGGAAAGCCATCTCTAATTAAAAGAGAGACTCACCCTACCAAGTGTGCAAATAAAGAGCAAATGGATTCTCATTATGACCACGTTTGCTGCTGTTGCTAACAGCAGCAAATGATTCGCTCTATGCGCTCCAAGAAAATATCACTAACTGTCTCTGGATGTAAATGACAGACTTATCTCTAACAAACAGATTGTGCTCAAAGATAGACAAAACAGGAGTCAGGGGTCAAAGTGCCTCCGTCACAGCCTGTCGGCTCCTCTCGAAACACACACAGACACAAACTCAGACACAGTGATAAGTGGCGCCCTCTGACCCGCTTCACATTGCAGAAGATGAGAATGAGCAAGGCCCAGAAGAAAACGGCGATGACTCCAGTCCCGATGAGAATTACAATCTCCACGTTGGCCCGGTCACTTGATCCTTATCGGAAAGAAAGAAAGGAAGAAAGTCAGTGTTAGATGCAAAGGGTTTAAAAACACACACACACACACTGCTGAAAATTACTCAGCCCTGTCACATGGACTGGTCTTTTACCAACTATAGGGGGCACTAAATTACAAAGTATTTGCCCCACAGCTTTCTAGTAAACTCCTTAAATAAAATCGTTAGAGTTAAATAAATGTGCTGGGGCTGACTTTCAGCCATTGGCCATAAAACCTCTTCCAGCAAACTCATTCACCAGCTGAATGAGAAAACACAGTGTTTCACTGGCTGATGACTATGATTTGAGAGCCGCACATAACAAAAGCACAAAAACTAGAGTTACGGTGAGAGTGTGAGAGGTGAAGATGTGAGCTCAAGGACAACTGCAATTTCAGGCCTGAGTGCACTCGAAAAAGCACACGGAGAGAGCCGGGAGAGCGTATGGTGAATAGATTCAGGTGTCTCTGTGACTGTGTGTGCGTGCGGCTGTCTCACCGATGACGCTGACGGCGGCTGAGGAGTTGACACAACCGCGCTGGTTGCAGGCGGTGCAGGTGTAAAGACCGGCGTCCTCCTCTCTGACCCGCTGGATACTCAGCGTGCGGTTTGAATCCTGCAGCTGGATCCCTGCGAAGGAGGCACCGGGGGATGGGGTGGAGATGGGGGGGACTTGTTAGTGACACGCAGTCAAACCCATATTCGAAGCCTGTGCTGTGTGCTGTGACTTTAGTGCCACTTTTTCACCCTTTCGCATTGTGAATTCAGCACCATTTTCCACAGCGCCTTTTTGAATTCTTGTCACACCTCTGGACCTCCATTTGTAGCATTCATTTATTATTCCATCATCCCGCCGCGCACCCCAAACAGTCCCCTCTGAGTGATCCCAGGGCATCAGCTGTTATTCAGACTTGCATTGACCCACCCTACAGGCTCATCACCTTCAGATATTAAGAAGAGACTAAAAAGCTAATGAGCTGTGTCGGCCTGAGAGGGTTTTATGTGTGTGGGTGTGTGTGGATGTGTGAGGAGCTCTACAGCAAAAACATCATGACAGGAACTCCTGATACAAGTTCTATTTGACCCACTTGTTCCACAGTGTGAGTGTGTGGGATTGATGTGCGCTTGTAAAGGAAAGCAATGGTATCCTAGAACCAGACCTTTCCTTTTTATTTGGTTTCTGGATTGATAGCTAGGACAAAAACATTCTGAAGTGGTCCAATGTTTAGCAAAAACACTGCAATCTAATCCCAAAGACCATTTATCCATGACAGTGGAATGCTTGATCTGCATTTGATTAATCTCCTAAATCTGAACACTCGCAGGAGGTGAATTTTTCCAAGAAGACAACGGTGTAATCTTGAGAAATGGCAATGTCACAGACTCGACAAGGGGGCCGTGATAAAGTTGCAGCCGGTTGTGCCAAAAATGACTGAATACCACTGAAAAACACTTTGTTGTGCACACACAGCAACCTGCAGTGCATCGTGTTTGCACTGACTGTGCTGACCAGGAAGAAAGTGTAGAAGAAATCCTACACCGAGGCACAATTTACATGAGGAAAAATATTGTTCCAAGAGTGCAGGCTTGCTGGAGAGAATGTGTGACGGCAACGTTATTAGCATGTTGTTGACCAGGCTTGCAAAAACATGAGAGGGTAATGTCAAAAGCAATCGCACACACTGAGAAAAAACAATCCGAGGCTGTCACTCACAAAAAGAGCTACTTATGTTTCCACTTGGAAAACTGCACTACAGTATTATAGCTATAGATTTCAGCTATTTTTGCGCCTATCAATCATTCAGAGGCAGAAAAGACAGAAAATAAAGCACAACATTAAACATACAAGAAGTTTACCTGAATAGCTGGACTGACATTTGATCACACTGAGTCGATGTATCTGTGTAAACATTAACAAAGCCTACTGGGATGTAAAGTGGATAATACGAGTCCCATCAAATAAAGCCTCACAGGGGCAGGCTTTCTGACTTCTTGTCGGCGTGCGTGTGTGAATGCGAAAGCCCCGTCCTACAAACACGTGTATGAGCTGCTGTGATTTATTCATGCACCTGACATTTGGTGGAGAGGCTGGTTGTCTTTGAACCAGAAGAATCGGGGCAGAGGTCTGCCCTCCACGTCGCACTCCATCGTGAGAGACTCGGTCACATTCACTGTTTGGTTGGTGAGGCTGCGCTTATAGCGTGGTGCCTCCAGGGCTGCGATGGGAGAGAGAAGGGAGAGCAAAAGCCAGAGACAGATCAGCAATGGAGAAGGTGAAATCAAAATTATTTCACTATATCGACACTATATCAACTCAAAGAGGGCAAATGTACAAGATGCACTCTTGTGGGTTTGAAAATCAGGGCAAAAGGAAGAAGATCCCATTAAAGCGTACATATGTCCTCCAGGCACTGACGCAAGCTTACACAGCAAACAGCACGAGCGAGGCAGGAATTTGTTTGTGCTTTTCAGCCCTGCTGCATCTCAGCTCTGTTTTCATGTCCCTACATATTGATGCTGTGCAGGCATCAAGTATTTTCTCCATTATGTGTGGATGTGGGTATCGAGCTGCGTGGGATCTTTTGAGTGTGGGTATTTTTAAGCCTCTAGCATCTCAGCGCCAGTTCCGCTGCGACCCATGTGTGTTGCCACTGCCAAGGGTTGAGTTTTTCTCTATAATTAGTGGTGCAGCCTAGTGCGCTGGAGTTAGAGTGACTCTGCTTTCTGCATTCAGCGGTGTGTGTGTTTGCATCTCTGTGTCTGGAGCTTTAATTCCCCCTTATTGCTCACCTTTGACAGAGATGTATCTGAAAAGGCACTGTTTCTCCCCACTGCGTCTGCTCTGAGCCTCACATACGTAATGCCCTTCATCCTGCAGCTGGATGGAGTTAATAGTGAAGTCCAAGACCCAGCTGTTGGAGGGCTCCTGGAAGGAGAGCCCACCACGGAGAGTCTCAGCATATAGGTGCACGCTCTTGCAGTCCAGCTCCTGGGGCTTACCCTCCTCGTCCTGCAGGGCCCGAGGGTCAAGACGGTACCAGTGGAGCTGCTCATAGGTGTAATTATCAGCACTGCAAAGGAGAGACACTTTCTCCTGCTCCAGGGGATACTCAGACTGCTGGACATCTACATTGAAGCCCTCGGGGATGGCTTTAAAGATGAGAGAAGAACAGGCAGGCTGGTATGTTACCCTTACACAGAAAGGCTTTGAATTACACATCAATAAATACTCCTCAAAAAATGCCATTTATATAAAATATAAACCAACAAATGCATGTAGGACGGCCTTGTTATGAGGATCCCAGCAAAAATGAAAGAGAAGTTTTGTTTGTGCTTGCTCACAGGATTAAGAAATTCTGCAGCAACATTAGGCCTTGTTACACTGTCATTAGGCCCTTAATGGCAGGCCAACCTCAGTGTGAGTTATTTTCACAAGGACTTTTTCTTTGGCATGGAAGCGTAAAGAGGCAACAGGGTGTTGGGCACAGACTTCTAATAGTTCTAAAAGAACAACCACAAGTTGCTTTGAGTGTTTTGAGTTGGGCTGCTATCACAAAGGAGCTCTACTTTTTTTTTTTTTGGTTGCGCCCTGATGTCCTGTTCTGGCCACCGGTGCACGGATGCCAGCGATTTCAGCCCGAACATAGCCTGCTGCGTCAAACCAAACCAACTTTCACATGGAAGATCATCACTTTTAAAGTGAGCAGTGCCCAAGTCAAAAGAAGGCACATTAAGTCATGTGTGCAGCCAGAAACCCTTCCCCCTGGCTTTTTTGTGGGGAGTGTACCCTATACTCCTCCTCCAGAGTTGGGCCAGAATTGGACAGAAAGTTCTACTGTGGCATGTGCCATCATGGAGCTCTTTTGTCCCCACAAACAAAACTGCAGCTCACCATCCACCCCCATTTGCTCCCCTGCGTCTCATGTTCTCAAAGGGGAATTCGAGTTGAAGTGTTGTCATTTTGACTCGCTGGATGTGATCCAGCACACGCTGCAAACGGGCACCTGCAAGTGGTCAGACCGTGACTTCCAGAGCGCAATCCAAGCTTAGCTGGGGTGCTGGAAGCGGCGCAGCAACCTTGATGTGCCAAATTGAAATCAGACATGCTTTTTGTTTTTTATTGGATTACTGGAACATTTGAGCACAGATCATACTACATACTGCAGCGCGCATTCTGTGTAGGCTTATCATACATTGAGTAGCTTTGTTATTCCTGCAGAGGATCAGAGCTGACTGAGTCCTGTGACAGAACAGAATGACCCGTTGGCTCTTGTGCCCGGGAAATCAATTTGAAAATCTTTCCACCTTTTTTTTTTTTCGAGGTAATTAATTTTTCAAATCTAATTTTCCACCACAAACTCTGCTCAGCTTTATTGTAATAGAGTGCAGCAAAACTTGGATCATCATTGATCAACCTTTGGCTTTAAAACCAACCAAGCTCCTATTTTTTTCTCCCAGCTGAGGAAAGGCAGTTTGTTTGTTTGTCTTCTTTATGGATCGTCTTCAAGCTTCAGAACAATATACTAGGCCTCGGGGGACATGAGCGCTTGGGTTGGCTAAGCATTTGACCTTGACCTTCATTGTTAGTGCTCAAGGTCAAAGTTTATCTTGAAAAACATTTAAAGAAACCATGTCAAGTAATATATCATATGATAGATCTGTGCAACACACTTTTTGTCTTTTCAATATGACACCCTATGATGTCACAATGACGCTATAAAGTTTTGCAGAATCACACACTGGATGAATATGTCTTAAAGCTCGAGTTTTTATAGCTTATAGAAGCCAAAAATGCTCCAATCATATACTAAAGATAATAAAATACACAATTTTAGTATGTAATACTTCAAGGTCAAAGGTCAGGGTCACAAAAATAAGGAAAAAAGCTTTAGTTTCCATTCAATCCTCTCCAAACTTTGAAGCAACATAGTCATCATTCTTTGTTTAAGCTCTTCAAAACCGTATTTTTTTCAATACAACATAATATGACTTCACAATGACACAAAATATAATATAATATAGCACACTCGATTATGACCTTACCAATGCTAACATGAGCAAAGAATATCAAAGTTTTAGTATAGCCCTTGGCCTTTGGGGGGAGTTGCGCTCTGTGAGTGCTCCTGTTTCGCATTGTGTTTGAGAGATATCTAACCACACATACTCACTGGTTACATAGAAGTAGATAAGCCGCTCATCTTTGCCCACTTTGTTTTTAGCAGAACACTTGTACATGACGGACACGCTGGCATTGCGAATCAGAAGTCTGCTCACTCTCTGCGAGGCGAGGAAAGGAGGACGAGACTTTAATTCATGTCGTGGAGACGCACATTTTAAAAGAAAGTGCAATCTGCTGTCGTGTAAAAATCAGGTTTTCTGCTGACAGACCAACGACACACAAACTCGCTCAGGTGTGAGTGAAAAAAATAGGGCGTTTGCAGCGTGAGTGTGTGTATGTATAATTTCCTCTTACGGCTGTGGTTTATAAATGTGCAGGCGTGGGTACGCGTACATGTGTGCCTGGATGTGTTTATAACTAGAACTTGCAGGAAGTCTGCAGAGGAAGACTGTTCTAAATATTTCTACTGTGGAAATGGCTCTTGATTGACAAATTTTGTTATGGAGCTTAGAATTTGGGACACTTACATAAAAACATCACAGGTCACAGATAGGTCCACTTACAGAAAGGCCTTCTTATGGGTTAGGCCGTAATTATATTCTGTAATCCTTTACCCCAGAGAATCAATTTATAAGCAGAGCATGTCTGTCCACAGAAAACCAGTAACAATCGCAATGAGGCCTGACGAACCTTCTCTCGTCCATCCACAACTTCGAGAGACGACTCGATCGGCTCAATTTCATTCATCGCATTCTCCGAGTTAATGTCCTGCCAGTTCTGACATTCTGCAATCCTGTCACTCCGGCTCTTCCGGTCTTGTCGGGCCCTGGAGGGAAGCAGAAACACATTCATGACACCTCGCCTCATTGACATGTGCAGCACAGAGTGGGCAGTGGGTGAGAATTAAGGAGCACGTTGAACGATATCCTGATGTTTTATGAGAAGTCTTTTCCCGCAGACTGTATAGCATTTCACATCAGCTTGAAGCCCTGAGCCAATGCAATTATGTCCTAAGTGTCCTAGCAGTTAATGGACAAATTACTCTATCAATTATGACTATCCGCAGTGCGAACATCACAGGAAAACTAATGAAATTTCTATTTAGTATTTTCACCCATCTGCACTACTCTGCATTAGCAGAAGGCCACAGGGGTCAGTTTTATTTTACTCTCTACATAATTTACTGATGGTAAATGTGCATACGAAAAAATGATAACTTGTAAATACCAATTTACAGTATTGTACTTTGCACATTGGATGCTTGCCCAGCCCTTGTACTTAACACATTTCAGCCAGTGGTGTTGGGGATTATAAACACAGAAATCAAATACCATCAGATTTTCATTTGAGCCGTCTGAAGAGTGTCTGATTGACAGCAGCTTCATCTTTCAGCATGAAAAGCATACCTGTGGAACACTATCAGCCCTCCCAGAGCACGGACCTCAACATTATTTTGACAGGCAACAGAACAAAAGGCAGCCAACCCATATGGAAAAGAAATAGTAAAAACTTATATGATTTACTCATGAAAGTGGCCACTTTCTCATTACTTTCATATATTGTTTTAGTAAGTATCCAAAACATACAAGTTTCATTATATAATTTTTCAAGGGATCTTATATCTGTTTTCACTCTTGTATGCTTTTCATACAAGTTTCACACAAGACAGATACAAACTTTATAAGATTTATATATATCTTTTCCATATGGGAACATCCAAACAAGTGCTTTGAATGTCCTTCAAGATGCATGGAAAACCTTTCCTGAAGACTACTTAAAGAAATGTCAAGAAAGCTGCCTGACAGAGTTCAGCCTGTGTTGAAGAATAAAGGTACAAACTCTGTGTTTGCCTTAGATACCATATTTATTTCAATAAATAGGTACACCTATTTCCCTTTATCCTAGCAGTATACAAAAAGCTGAGGTGCAATTCAAAACGACTGTAGATAGGCAGAAATTTACTAATTTATAAAACACAATATCCTTTTACTGACCGTAAAGAGATCGCATGCAGCATTTGGACCATAGGCAGAATAATTTTAGCCTTTTCTCTTACTCCTAAATTACTTATCAAACTCCTCTTATTGGCACGTCTATGGCTCAGTAATTAGGATATTACACCTCCTTTGTCTAATCCATACTGTTTAAGAAGTGATGTGCCGCCTTAAAACCACCTACTTGTGAGCCAGGGGATTATTTGCTTTTCCTAGTTCTAGTCTCGATGCTAAGCTACGTTGATGAGGCTTCATATTTCGCATAGAAGTCTAGCAGCACTTTTAACAAGTCACTGAGCTCAGATATCGATAGCAGACCGTTCCTTTTAACTAAAAACAATCGTAAAACTGTGTGAGGGCCTGCTTTTTGTGTTCACTTGTTTTCTGTTGCCACATGAATGAGAGAGCTCTACAATGTGCTTTATGAGCAGATTTGTATATGCAACAAACAAGCACACACATACAGAGATAACATCAGACAAGACATTGCTCTCCTGAAAGTAATTTCTCAGGCTCTGAAGAAAAAGACCAGCACCACCGAGATTACAAAAGCAAACGCCTGATATTGTAAAATTACTTTCTTTCATCAAGCACACTTCATCAGGAACACACTGTGCTGCTACACTTAACAGGAGCCTGTGAGGAAGGACAGGTTTAGCTGGAAGTCCTTTGCTGTATTTTGGACCGTCACAATGGACAAGGAATTTCAAAATATTCAAAGAAAATTGAAAAAAAAAATAGAGGCAGAATTCACTGTCCATGAAATGGCATACTAGGTCCACAGTGGCTAAAACAAAATAAAAACTGAGCACTTTCAGCCAAAATTAAACCAAAGCTGCCACTGCTGTGAGTTTCAGACTGCCTCTTAGACCAGGATCGAAACCTTGCAGCTGCACTCATGTTGCATGTTGACATGGAAAGGTCAGAACAGCAATATCTTCCAAAATTAAGCCTAGGAGGAAGACGGTAGAGGCAGGTGGATATTAGAGCAATATTCAGTGGAAGCGCACAAAACACAGGGGCTAAAGAAATAGGAAACAAGTGAGTATGATTGCATGTTTTATGTGTGTATTTGTATTGTGTAGCACTCTAGTTAGCTTCAATCACACCTGAGAGATTTATGTGCATTTCATGTGTGTTGTGTCTGTATGTGTGTCTTTGCTTATGCACAAAGCTGGACCATAGCACAGGAGAGTGACAGGCACATTATTACTGTGTGGGGGAGGAAGCTGGCTGGACATCGAGCAGACACTTTCCTTTAGTCTCCTCTTTCCTCCTTCCTTACCTCCCCTCTACCTTCCTCTATATATTAGCTCTTTTCATCCACAGCCACCCGCCCCGCTGCCCCCTTCTCTCTCTTCTTATCATCTCCTCCCTCTCTTGTTCACTCAGAGCCAGTGGATAATTTCACACTGACCTCTTCTTGTTATTTGGTCTCACATAACGCTTCATGCACAGCTCTTCCCGCCTTTCCTGTCTTGTCTGATGAAACCTTATCTTCACACACACACACACACACACACACACACACACACACACACACACACACACACACACACACACACAGTTGCAAAACTACCAGTGCTATATAAGAATGAGTCTGGGGCTGAGGTTTTTCTTACACTCTGCTTTGGGTGCTGTTGAGGACACAGGGGCCCCAGGCCCTCCACTGCCAGCTGATGTTGGGAATAGGGACACCGTAGGCGGTGCACGTCAGCGTTTGGCTGCTGCCGCTGGGGTAAGGGCTGGATGGATCTGCCACCTCTTTTTCATGAATCTGAGGAGGAACTGGGGGAAGAAGAGAGCTAATAAATCAATTTTTCCAGGAAGTCATAACTTTTTTATGCTAGATACAGGTCTCTTTATAATTGATTCATGCAACGTTTTTACTCTTTTGCTCCTTTCTTTTGTAAGATTTTCAAATTAAATCTACAAAAATTCGACTTTCCTCACTTGGGAAGGCAGGGAATCTCTATAACTTTACACTCCTGCTTTGTTCCTAAAATATCTGGAGGGATTTTAACTGGAGGTTCACAGAGCAACACACACATACCGTTGACGACAAGCGTTATGTTGAGCTTCCTCTCTAGCCCAGCATCGCTGTTTTTCAGGACCACCGTGTACAGCCCGGAGTCCTCCTGACAAACATCCTTAATCTCCAAAACATGTTTAGGGTGCATCCTCATCCTTTTCATCTTGAATTCTGGGCGCTGGTTTATTAGCTTTCCGTCTTTATACCTGGTGGCACACACAAATACACAAAATGTGCTCCTACTGAGATGTCCTGCTCTTTAATTGAGCTACAAATCTCAGATTTGCGAGGCCTAATTATGCTTTTGGACATTTCCAATTACATTTAATGAGACTCCTCTTACCATTGCGTTTCGGGTGCCGGTAAGGCAGAGACATTTACTTGTAATTTGTATGACTTCTGGCCAGCAGTTATCTCCACAATCGGTCCAATTCTGTAGTCGAGGTGGATAAATGGTCCTTCTGGAATCAGAGGCATTCAGTTGTTTACATAAAAGGCTTTAAAATCTTAAGGTCAGAGTACGAAACACTCGCCTTCTCTCAGCTTAAAACATGGCAATCAAAAGCGTTATACGTGTCTCCACTGTAGTCAGCTTGGATTCAGTGAATAAATCCTCTGGTTCTGACTTTAAGTCACTTTTTAAGCCTTCAACAGTAAATATTTGATTGATTTTTGGTAAAAGGAAAAATAATACATTAATTATTTTGCCTCATCTGAAAAAACCCTTTAATCCATAAACACTGCTCAATTCCAAATTCTAAGGTATTTTTCTAGCGCTTGTCCACGAGGTAAGGATGGTGCGCTGGGTTGCATGTGTCGTGGTTTTGGAGTTAGACACTGCTCAAGCAGATCTCTGGGCAGACTCGAGCAAGCCCTTAAAGCCCTTTTCCTTCTGGAAAAAATCTGAAAGTGAAGTTTTTCAAAAACATCAAAGAGAGAGCATACGACACCTTTGGTGCACCTTTAGATGTCAGAGTTCGCCTTTCATGTTTTCTGTGTTTAGTTATGCTCCTTTTACTTTGGTCTGTTTCACGTCACACATAATATCACAAACCAAAATGTTTGAAAATAAAGCTTTACAGTGATAAAGACCATGTGTGGCAGGAAAAATTTATGAATGTAATATGTTTCATTTTGATTTTTAAAAAATCGATACCAAATATCGATTTAATATTTTATGAAATAAAATGTTGATATTTTATTAAATAAATCCAACTACTCTGGTAAATGCAAGTGCAAGATGGCTCATCTCATGCACAGAAATCCTGAGGCAGCGTTAGAGCCAAACTCGAGGGGACTCGACTCAACTGGCTGCCAGCTGCCTGTGTTCTGGTTATACTCCTACAGACCTGGGAGGTCGCAGAGTACAAATATAATAGTTAAATGTGAATTTCTGAGTGAAGTGTAAATGTTTCTGTCTGTGTAGAGAGCAACAGATGATTTACCACAGTTAACCAATGCATTATCAGGAGTAGATTGCATGTAATTGCCAGCTAAGTGGCAACATTTATGGCAGTTTTTTTGTGCTGATGTTGGCATGTTATACAATCTCATTTGCAGCAAAAATAACAGATGAAACGAGATAACTTCAGCTTATTGGATAAAACAGATATTATAACAGAAAGCAATATATGTTATTGGAATACTCGGCATGTTGCAAAAAGTTAAAAATCACAATAATATCATAGTGTGAGTAAAGTATTATGATAATTGTAAATATCAACACTTCACTTTTGATTCCACAGAGGCATCCGATGGAAGACATAACACTTATTAATAAAAAGCATAGCATTATTGAGGCACTGCAAATTATTTAATCCCAACATAATATGGTATCGTGGGGTGATTCTTACCTCTATTAAATATGTGACTTCATTAATAACTTAAAACTATAACTTAACTATAAACTACAATTGTCATGAAGGTAGCATCAAACACAATCTAATGCAACTGATTGGCGTGACAGAGGAGGATGCTGAGGACAGGGTGAGATGGAGGCAGATGTTTGGTCAAGTTTTTCATTACAGGGATTATTGTGGAGACTGACCATAACTGCACATAGAGCTGGATTATTTGCTATGTTTGCCAGCATAACTGTAGATTTGGATGATTAATGCAAACTTTAAGAAGACTAATGTATGGACAAAAAAATAGAAAGTCTTACCATAAACTACGACCTGAGTTTGTTGGGTGTAAGTCCCGTCCATGCTGGTAACATTGCAGGTGTATCGGCCGGTGTCTGTGACATTGACACTGTGGATGGTCAGGGCGCTAGAAGCCGTTGTGGCTTGAGACAGAGATTCACGGAGGGTGGTAACTTGCACCAAGTCATTCGCCTGGTGAGGAGAAACAAACTGTGATTGTAAATTCAGGTTTGCTTCTTACTAACACAACATGCGATGCACTGCTAGTACCTGTTTGCTTGGGTAAGACCACTGGATGTCCACCCCTGCGTTGAACTCCACCATCGCTGTGCAGTTCAGGGTGAGGGCCTCCCCCACTAACAGCTGTACTGGCTCCTCAGGAAACAGCTTGACATCGTAAACCTGACTTCCTGTCCGTGAAAATAAAAGGGCGAGGTAGACCCAGACAGAGGTAGGGAGACAGTGAGAGAGGTCAGAGTGACATTGTCAGCAGTTTTTCCTGAGGAAATGACTTTCCTTTGGACCTGAGAAGCCATCCCAGGCTACTCTAAAACTTTATATATACATACACACACACACACACACAATTTTATATATATCTAGATGTGTGTGTGTGTTTGTTTATATATGTGAATAAAACTGAAGTGAAGCATCAATCCCGTTTTGCACACTAGACAGTGTATCTGATGTTTAGGTCATTCTCTCTGCATGGAAATGACTTTGCACGTAAAAGAAAAAAGGCAGACTGTGATTACTGATTGTTTATGCAGTCCATTAGTGTGAAGAGTGAAGCCTCTCCGAGTTTCTCCTCTGACTGATGTGGCTATTACATTTGGCTGGGAGCGGTGAATATGAGTTTCCATTTGCCCTCTGAAGACAGAGGTGAATGAGCTCAAACAACAGAGCGTAGAGCATCTGGATCACCCTGAGTTCACGCGCTATGAGAGGGAAACTCAACATAAAGTCTCTCGCCCTTTTCAGCTTAGTTTTTCAAAATGTGATTATGCCTTCCTTTTCCATCTGCTTCTCTTTTCTTCTTTTCTTTTAGTGCTTGTGACATAATGACTCCATCCTTACATAAAAATGGAGTTGTTTTAGAGGAAATTACACAATTAAATAAAAGCCTCAAAATTGTCAGCATTAAGGCTTAATTGGCTCGTCGACTGCCATGGAAAATTATGGGGACAGGGCAGTCAGTCTAGCACCACCTTTGATTTTCTAGCTAATTTCTCTTCCAACAAGAGCAGAGAGTCAAATCTAATTCAAATATTTGTCCTGGGTCGGGAGTGTTTTTGTAACTCTGTTCACCCATCCATCCAATTTTCTGCTGCTTTATCCGGGTTTGGGTCGCAGGGGCAGCAGTCTAATCAGAGATGCCCAGACCTCCTTTACCCCAAGTCACCTTTTCCAGCTCTTCTGGGGAGGGGGAGCGGACGCCAAGGTGTTCCCAAGATCACATAGAAATAATCTTTCAGTTTGAGCCACAGCAGAGATAGCGTGAGCTCCTCATTTCTACTCCTTGCATCTTATTCTTAATTTAGCATACCAACATACTGATACACCATCAGCATCAGTGCAGACGCTTCTCCAATCTTTTCGTCAGTCTCCTGCTCCACTCTTCCCTACTTGTAAACAAGACCATGAGATAACAGCACTTCTCCTGAGGCAGAAAATCATTCCCAGCACAGAATGTGCAATCCACCCTTTTCCAGCTGAGAGCCGTGGCCTTGGACTTGGAGGTGCTAATTGTTATCCCTACTGCTGAAAAACTGCCCCAGTGCAAGTTTGCAATCATCCCTCAGTGAAGTCAAAAAAGCACAGACATGATCCTGAAACCACTGAACCTGAAACCTTTTGCCCCTTGGCTGCACCTAGAAATTCAGCAAGAAACAGATATGGTAACAAAGGCAGCACTGCCACAGTCCAGTACCCACCGGGAATAAGTCTGATTTCCTGCCAGCAATGTGAACCAACCATGTCAATTGTACAGGGACTGAAAAGCTCTTGAAGCACCCTACAGAACATCCCAAGGGATGTGGTTGAATGCTTTCTCCAAGTCTATAAAAATTGACTGGTTGGGCAAACTCCCAAATATTTCTACTGGAAAAGCAAGAAAAGAGCTGGGCCATTGCTCCATAACCAGGAAGTAAACTGTGTTATCTTTCCTAAATCCTAGCACTCCCCTGGGATAAACGTTCCCAGCGAGGATAAGCAGTGTGATCCCTCCCGAAGTTGGACCACCACCCTAGTTTGCAAATCCAAAGGTAATAACTTGCACTTGGTGTTGCAGAACTGTGTCATACAGGAAAGTTGCTCAATACCGCCCAGCCAATATTATCAGTCGATATTAGCTATTTGCAGATACATTATATGAGCAAATAATTTACATTTATTTTACAACAATGAGAATTAAAACAGGAAAAAAAAAAACACTGGAGAAACACCCCTGAGCTATGTTACAAGTGTTGCATAGTCTGTCCACCACAGCATACTCTGCGACTTCCCTGTTGGCAATGCAGGTGTTTAGAGTGCCATTAACACAACAACCGATTGATCTAAACAAGTAATCCACAACTTCGTGTGACAAAAAAACAAGATTGTTTTTACCCTGCATTGTTATATTATCTTAGCAGGGACACATTATCTTGTTTCGTGTACTTGAAAGAAAAAAAGATATTGGCTGATATATCAGATTTTTATGTTAACAAATATTAGTGTCAGTCTTAGAAGTCCTATATCGTTCAGGCTCGAATCCAGACCTATGAGAAACTCAGAGCGGATCTCATCCACCTCAAGGGATCTGCCCAAGATTTTTAACTAGCTTAATGTTCTCAGTTACAGTAATGACCCAGTCTTCTCTGTGTCCCAAAGCTCTGTGGTGTGTCATTTAATGCTTGAAGTTAAAAGTTCAGCTAAGAGTTCAGCTGCTGCCTTTTGGTAGGACTTTGTGATAAATACCTAAGGATACTTTTGAAACCTTTGGAGGAAACATACTGTTTTACCTGTAGTGTGGAACACGTAGCTGTCCGAACTGTACCAATTGCCTCCCAGCATAGCAGCACAAGAAAGCATCAGGAGAGGTTCCTTGTCTATGATGTTTTTGGGAATGGACCAGCCCCGCTTGTTGTCCCATCTCAGCCTCTCCTTCTCCAGTGGCCAGGGATTGTACCACATCTAAATGCACAAAAATGATTGCTGCTGTTAAAATCATCAATTTAAGCACCAGCTGAAAACTTTAACTGGAGGAACAGAGTGTGAGAAATATGTTTTGGGCACAAACCGTTTTCAGGGTGACATTCAGATCAGGCACTGTGACCAGGCATGGCACTATTACATCCGTGGAATGGCTCTTGATGAAAATGGTCTGCACGCTGCCGCTGTTGAGGAAGGGCTGCTCTGGGTCTGGATGCAGACAGAGAGAGACAGGGAGCAGGGAGGTTAACCCCGATAGCAGCTGGGGTAATGGCAGCTATTACTGAGTTAACTTCATGTATGGCCAGCCAGATCTCCCCCATCCTGATAATGACCCCCAAGGACACACCTCATGTGTAGTTTATCATGATTACCAACAGCTCAGTCTGTCCCCGCCTAGCAAATAGCGGTAAGGACCTCTATTACACATCAACTGAGAGACAGACAGCCAAGAGGTTTAATCATCCTCTAAACAGTGTTACAATTTCACCTCAGGCTCTCTGGTGATGGAAAATATCTCTCCACTGTGTTTCATTCTTAACACCTTGATACTTCCCTTTTTTGTTGCTGCAGCTACCGATGCTCAGGACTTTGGGAGGCATCGCAGCAATTGTTTTGGCAATTTACACTGCAGCTCTTATCACCATAAAAGCTAATATTCCCTCAGCAAGAGATTATGTTATTATAAAAACCTTTATCTCTCCCGCTTTGCTGTCAGTACCGGCGATGTTTGAGCAGCAGCAAATATGTTATATGACATCCGAGCTTTTCTTCTTACGTCTTGTTTTGCATGATAAGCCTTCAGTTATTTCCATACTTCTTGTTCTTTCTGCACAACTCAAACCTATCACTTTAAGCTTCTGCAAGGCCAAACAAAAAGTCATATCAAGAGGCTTATATTTCTGCCCTGCAGTGGACTGAACACACACACACAAGCAACAGAAATAATAGACAGCGTTTCGCACTTTAACGTCTTCTCAATAAATCACCCGTAGGTATCAGACTGCAGGAAGAGATCTGCTACTTGAGGCGAGGACAGGTTGCAGAGCAGGCTGAGCAGGTGTTTGTGTGCTTTGCATTATTCTACACATGTAAAAATACAGTATATTCATGTATTCAGATCAACGTCTGCACTCATATGCGCGTTTAGAGCATAGCGTTAGAGCCCTGAAGGAGTAAAAGGCTGACATCTGCCCGTCTAATTGAATCCACATGTGTCCCCTTTATCCTTCAACACACTGGGTCTAATTTATGGCTGCAATTCCATCTGCTTATGATCAGCCCCCCGGATAGATCTGTGGAAACTGTTTTGGCACCTTGTCTGAGGGGATAAACAGGCGTTTCACATGAGTGGACTGGTCAGCAGGATTCCCCGCCATGACAATCATCTGTCTCTCCATGTGCCTCCTCTCCCTCAGCACACGGAGCGAGGAAAAGTAAAGAGACAACCCTTAGGGACAAGTCCTGAGTTCTAAAGTTCAAACTATGAGCTAGTCTGAAACTTGTATATGGCAAAAAAATACTGATAGCGAAACACATTTCATTGGTGTTCTTTGATATGTTATTCATTTCGATATTACGAAAAACAAATAGCGCATTAATGCTTTAATTAGCTTCCCATTCCTGTCTTTATCAAAAGCTTTGCATGGCTAATATCTGAATCCTGCCAACTTCCAGGGTGTGACCGAGGCAAACTCAACAATTTCCACTTCTAGTAACAGAGCGTCTGCTTTGATATTAGAGTAATATTCAAAACAGGAGATCTGCTTCCACAGGATGGCTACCAAAGAAAACAGAAATAAGGACTAAAGGTTCCACATAGCCAAGCCAAAGAGCTGCGGACCAGATCAAGCAAGGGGATGAAATTTTAGCACATTTGCAGGCTTGTGTGACTCACCCATGACAAAGACATAAATGCTGGTGGCAGTGGTGCCTTCAATGATGGCCTTGGCATCCTTATATGAGCAGCGGTAGTACCCCGTGTCTTTGGCCTGTGCCCCATTCAGGACAAGCTTCTTGCAGTACGGCAATTCCAACTTCCCCGGACACTCGCTGACTAAGGCCACCCTCTGCCCGGGGGCTGAGGTGGTCTCCAGCTGGGAGTGACGCTGGGTTAGGTCTCGTCCAACCAGAGTCTGATCAGGCCAGGCCCAGGCCAGAGTATTAGATCCCCTGAAGAGATGTGAAAAGTCAAAGGACACGGAACAGATTTCATCTTAGTACTTAAAATGAAAAGTTGTATTATTGGAATTAACACTCAGATTGTCACATTACTTGTGGTGTACCACAAGGTACACTCCTAGGTCCTTTAGTTTTTTCTTTTTTTTACATGATTCCATTTTACCAAAGTATCCAATGTCATAAAGTCTCTCTTCATTTCCAAGCAGACAATATGCAGATATGCATTAGCTGACATCTACCTGTTCTTAGATTGTTTATTAGTGATGTTAATTATTCGATTGCATAAAACTTTCTTTCTGCTTATCAGTCAAAATACTCTGTGCTAAATAAAGACATTATTATTACATTTTTGTTACATGTTAAGTAAAAAAACGACAGTGTTTGTGTGTGTCATGGTCCTGGGCCATGTGGGCCCAGTATTCTTAGTTTTCATGCATTTTTGTATTTTGTTCCTTATTTAGGCCATGTTTTCTGAGTTGCCCTGTTGTGTTGTTCCCTAAGTGTTTTCCCTTCATGGCTCTTCCCCCCTGTGTGCCCTCTATGTATTGATGAGCCCTCGTCTCCCCTTGTGGTTGTTTCATGTTTCCCCAGCCCGTTATGTCGGTGTTTTCCCCGTGCTCTCTCTCCTCCTGTCGGAACCTCTGCCTCTACATGTCATGTTCAGTTCACCCCGCCCTGTCTCGTTATGGTTATCTGTGTCACCTGTGTTCCCCGTGTGTTCCCACTTTCCTCGTTAACCCTCTGTGTATTTCTGTCTGCGTCTTCCTCTGTTCGGCGTCGCGTTCTCCCTCATGTTGTGTGGATCTCCCTGTGTCTCTCCGCGTATGTTAGTTTACTTTTCCCAGTTTAGTTTTGTATTTCCTATGTTCTGCCATTCCAGCATTAAAGCTGTGATTTTGAGTTCATCCCCGTGTCTGTGAGTTTTGCTATTGGGTCCTTCTCCTGCCTGCCACACAACGTATCATGACAGAAGAACGCGACGACAACATGGACCCAGCAGTTCACAACCCCTCCGCGGACCGACAGTACGACGCGACCATGCCGGACCCAGCGACACAAAGACTGGAGATTGTCCGGACAGTGGAGTCGCTATGCGACAAGTGGCTGCACTGTTCCAGTGAGGAGGAACGGGAGGAGTTCGCCCGCCAGGTAGGGGTGTGCGTGTCTGTGTTCCCCTGGTTATGGGAGACGCTGCACCCCCTCGTCAGCGACCTTCTCGTCTCCGCTCTCCGACTCCGTCCGCAGCAGCAGCGGCCCGGTGGGCGTGCACCTTCACCAGAGCCGTGCCATCGCGCCGTTGCCCCGCCGCCTCATGAGCCAGTGGCGGTCAGAGTCGGAACGGTGAGGCTCACCACGGACACACCATTGGCTCACACTTCATCAGCTTCCGCATCTTCGCCACCGCCTGCCTGCACGGAGATGCCCGAGGCTGTTGACTTCGGTGAGGAGGAGCGGCAGCAGGTGTTGCGGGCTTATCGGGAGGACGAGCTCCGGTGGAAGCCCTGGCTCATCTCGGAGCAGGACCTCTCACCTGCTGCACAGCCTACCAGCCGCTCGCCGTCTCCAATCCACTTAGACTTTACTTCGCCTGCCTCATTTCTGGCAAGGATGTGGGCGGACGACCGGGAGATCGCCGCTACATCACCCCCTGCATTTGTGCCATCAGCGCCCATCGCGCCAGCTACCAGAAGGGGGCGGCGCCGGCGCCGCCGTGGCACCGCATTAACTCCGGAAATCATGGAGCCCGGTCTCTGTGAGCAGCAGCAAGCAGCTTGCACCCACGTAGAGGAGGAGCTCCGGAGAAAGCCGTGGCCTACCCCCGATTGTCAGCACATCTTTCGGGGAACACGCCTGGCTCTCGGGGGCCCTCGGAGCCGCCAGGGTCTGCAGCCCTTCACAGCTCAGTTAGCTCCCTCGCAGCCACCCTCAGTTCAGTCAGCTCCCTCGCAGCCACCCTCAGTTCAGTCAGCTCCCTCGCAGCCACCCTCAGTTCAGTCAGCTCCCTCGCAGCCACCCTCAGTTCAGTCAGCTCCCTCGCAGCCACCCTCAGTTCAGTCAGCTCCCTCGCAGCCACCCTCAGTCCAGTCAGCTCCCTCGCAGCCACCCTCAGTCCAGTCAGCTCCCTCGCAGCCACCCTCAGTTCAGTCAGCTACCCTCCTGGAAGCCCCCGCTGCCTGGTATTCTCAGCATCGACATCTTTTCCCGTCAAGGTTTATCGCTAAATCATTCGATCCTCCCTTAAGAGAGAGACTGCGTCCTCGCTGCCTTCACCCCAGTACACCAGTGTCACCTGGGTCTCCAGTAGCTCAGCTCCCAGTGTCACCTACCCCACAGCCACTTTTAGCTCAGTTTCCAGAGCCACCTGTTTCAGTTCAGGCCCCAGTAGCTCCAGTGCCGCCTGTAGCGCAGGCCCCAGTAGCTCCAGTGCCGCCTGTAGCGCAGGCCCCAGTAGCTCCAGTGCCGCCTGTAGCGCAGGCCCCAGTAGCTCCAGTGCCGCCTGTAGCGCAGGCCCAGTAGCTCCAGTGCCGCCTGTAGCGCAGGCCCCGATAGCAGTACGGTCCGCTGGTCAGCCTAACATTCAGCCAGGGGTCTCTAATCTCTCTGGCTCTGCATCAGCTCCTGCTGGGAGCTCGGATGAGCTCATCCAAGACTCCGCGGCTCCCACGCCGCCTTCTACCTCGTCAGCTGGAGGGTCCGAGGGGCCCGTTCAGCCTCCTGTCTCCGCTGGAGGGTCCGAGGGCCCGTTCAGCCTCCTGTCTCCGCTGGAGGGTCCGAGGGGCCCGTTCAGCCTCCTGTCTCCGCTGGAGGGTCCGAGGGGCCCGTTCAGCAACCTTCCTCGTCAGCTGGGGGTTCGGGAGAACCGCACCAGCCTCATGCCACGTCAGCTGGAGGGTCCGAGGGCCCGTTCAGCCTCCTGTCTCCGCTGGAGGGTCCGAGGGGCCCGTTCAGCCTCCTGTCTCCGCTGGAGGGTCCGAGGGGCCCGTTCAGCAACCTTCCTCGTCAGCTGGGGGTTCGGGAGAACCGCACCAGCCTCATGCCACGTCAGCTGGAGGGTCCGAGGAGCCCGTCCAGCACCATGCCACACCAGCTGGAGGGCCCGAGGAGCCCATCCAGCCACCTTCTGCTACGCCTGGTCCAGCCTGTGCTTCGTCCGCTGCAGCCTCAGAGCCTTCGTCCGCTGCAGCCTCAGAGCCTTCGTCCGCTGCAGCCTCAGAGCCTTCGTCCGCTGCAGCCTCAGAGCCTTCGTCCGCTGCAGCCTCAGAGCCTTCGTCCGCTGCAGCCTCAGAGCCTTCGTCCTCGCCTGGTCCAGCCTCAGAGCCTTCAGCCTGTGCTTCGTCTGGTCCAGCCTCAGAGCCTTCAGCCTGTGCTTCGTCTGGTCCAGCCTCAGAGCCTTCAGCCTGTGCTTCGTCTGGTCCAGCCTCAGAGCCTTCAGCTGTGCTTCGTCTGGTCCAGCCTCAGAGCCTTCAGCCTGTGCTTCGTCTGGTCCAGCCTCAGCGTCTTCAGCCTGTGCTTCGTCTGGTCCAGCCTCAGCGTCTTCAGCCTGTGCTTCGTCTGGTCCTGTGCCCACCGGGCCATGGCCAGCACGCCTGACACTGGAGAGCCGCCGCTGCCTTCCGCGCGGCCGGCCCCTGAACTGCTCCGTCGTCTCCTCCGCCGCCGCCGCTGCCTTCCGCGCGGCCGGCCCCCGGAACTGCTCCGTCGTCTCCTCCGCCGCCGCCGCTGCCTTCCGCGCGGCCGGCCCCCGGAACTGCTCCGTCGTCTCCTCCGCCGCCGCCGCTGCCTTCCGCGCGGCCGGCCCCCGGAACTGCTCCGTCGTCTCCTCCGCCGCTGCCTTCCGCGCGGCCGGCCCCTGAACTGCTCCGTCGTCTCCTCCGCCGCTGCCTTCCGCGCGGCCGGCCCCCTGAACTGCTCCGTCGTCTCCTCCGCCGCTGCCTTCCGCGCGCCGGCCCCCTGAACTGCTCCGTCGTCTCCTCCGCCGCTGCCTTCCGCGCGGCCGGCCCCCTGAACTGCTCCGTCGTCTCCTTCGCCGCCGCCGCTGGCTTCCGCGCGGCTGGCCTCCGGACCAGCTCTGCCACCCGCCTGGTCGGCCCCCCGACCGTGTGACCCGTGGACTCTGGTGCCTGTGGGCTCTGGGTCGGCCCCCTGAACTTTGTTTTGACTATGGTCATGTGCTCCCGTGTTTTCTGTTTATTTTGTTTCCCGTTCTGGTCCCTCCGTCCTGGTCCCCCGCCTCCGCCCTGGGTGGGTTGTTTTCTGTTTTTGTTTTGGTTTCTCGGGTTTGGGCTGTCGGGAGCCAGCCCTTTAGGGGGGGGTGGTGTCATGGTCCTGGGCCATGTGGGCCCAGTATTCTTAGTTTTCATGCATTTTTGTATTTTGTTCCTTATTTAGGCCATGTTTTCTGAGTTGCCCTGTTGTGTTGTTCCCTAAGTGTTTTCCCTTCATGGCTCTTCCCCCCTGTGTGCCCTCTATGTATTGATGAGCCCTCGTCTCCCCTTGTGGTTGTTTCATGTTTCCCCAGCCCGTTATGTCGGTGTTTTCCCCGTGCTCTCTCTCCTCCTGTCGGAACCTCTGCCTCTACATGTCATGTTCAGTTCACCCCGCCCTGTCTCGTTATGGTTATCTGTGTCACCTGTGTTCCCCGTGTGTTCCCACTTTCCTCGTTAACCCTCTGTGTATTTCTGTCTGCGTCTTCCTCTGTTCGGCGTCGCGTTCTCCCTCATGTTGTGTGGATCTCCCTGTGTCTCTCCGCGTATGTTAGTTTACTTTTCCCAGTTTAGTTTTGTATTTCCTATGTTCTGCCATTCCAGCATTAAAGCTGTGATTTTGAGTTCATCCCCGTGTCTGTGAGTTTTGCTATTGGGTCCTTCTCCTGCCTGCCACACAACGTATCATGACAGTGTGACTGTGAGTGTGCATTTTGCACTTGTAGTGCTATAAATTTTCCAGAGCATCTGTACATCCTTGTTTGCTTTGAGCTTTGTCACATAAATTCAGTTATGTTAACCCAGAGGCATTACGATTGCAACCATAATTGCTGCCTGAAAACCGATAGCTATGCTTTCATCACCTTGCTCCACTAAACAGCAATGACAGAAATGTGCACATGGTGCCAAAATGTGATGGCTGGAAATGACACAAACATGACAGATGATAATTTAAGTATTTTACAGCCTCAGTGAATAATTTTCCCTTATGGGAGGTTTATTTTTTTTAAAGATGAAAACATTTATCTGAGAAATAATCTGGAAAAGACCAAAAATAATATCAGCTTTAGCAAAGACAGCTTTTCTTCTTCTTTTTTGTTCACCACAAAAACAAAATGGTTAAAGGAGGGACTGCTTGGGGCAGCAGACAGCACAGCTGAGATTTTATAGGGATATAGGATCATTATCATGAGTTGATTCATATATGACAGAGGCTCAGTTTAAATCGGATCTGGCTTTGCTTTAGAACAAAAAACATCTCTTTCTTATAAGACATGGCCCATTGTTTATATGGTTTAGAAAAAGCAGAGTAAAACAAGTGCAGACTTTTCTTATTTAAACTGACAGTTTGCATCACAAATGTAAGACGTATAAAATGCTATGAAAACTATTAGCAATGCATGAGTGTCCAGATCCTTTGTTCACGAAAGATGCAATAAAACTGGTAACTTTTTCTGAAAAATGAACTGTAGCAGAGTCGAAATGTATTTTTCTCATTTGTTGATTGCAAGTAACACATTTTTTTTAATCTATCAATGATGATTTTTTGTAATTTCCTGAAAAAACACACAGTTTGTCATGCACAAGTGCATGTAGTCAGTCCAAAACGAGAAGACACACATACCTGCATGTAAGAGTGAGTGTTGTGTGGGCTGCAATCACTAGTTCGTCTTTGGGGCTGTCGAGGACGGGTGGAGTCATAGAATAGCCTATCACCAGACCTGCGGGAATGAACAAGCCAACTGCATTAGAATCATGTTACACAGGTCAGTCAAGACCTAGTGTTTTTGACAGAGCTGCTGGTAAGCTGTCAAATCTCTGAAACACATCGGGAATCTGAAATCTGACACAGTGGATATTACATTTACAAGCTGTAAGGCAATCTGCGGCTAAAGGAACTGGTCCCTGATGCTGAAAAACACCCAGATAGAGAAATTACGGCTCGCTCGTGAGGCAATGCTGGTGTGATCTCTTTACCTCCGCCTCTGAAACAGCCACACAAACCATTTGCCCTTGATTTATTACAAATGCATTCACTTCACTCATCGGTGCTTGGTTAATATAGCTGGCCTAGAATGTCATTACCATAGTAGAGTCCCCTCAGGGTGCTATTAGCGCTTAGTCAGACTCTGCACCTACAGTCGATCATATATAAAAGTGTCACCATGACTTATGCTCCACCTGGATATCATTAGAGATGAAAACACACACTGTGCTATTGCAGGGACTGAGTGGCTGTGCGGTAGTGGAGAGGCTTTCTGAGCATTTACAAAACAAATCATGACCATTTTCCCACATCAGACTGAATAAATAAATACATAGTGTGCTTCAAGGCACTTTGTTACAAAGCGATGCACAAACATCAAAACAAACTGAGAAAATATGCATGGATAAGCATCATAAACAGTAGACTACAATATAAAAACCCCTGCACTCCATATGTAAAATGTAAATAAAAACAAAGCAATGATTTTTATTCTCAAAATTTCCTCTGCACAAGAGACGAGGCTGAAAATCAGTATTGAAATCTAAGATCTTCACACCCTCAGGTGCCACTGCCTTGAAAACAGACATGTCTCTGTTGTGGAAGTCATTGCATAGGCTGAAGGACACTTCCAGAAACTACTATCTGTGAAAACTGTTGACCGTGCCATCCATAAAAGCAGGTAAAAGCTCCATCATCCAAAGACAAGCTATATGCGAACACAATCCTGAAACACTTTCTAAGGGGTTAAGCTCATTTAAAATGGACTGAGGACATTTGAAATTAGCTTGTGGAAAACTGATCTGTGTTCAGAAAAATTTAAATGTGGAATTCTTTTTGGAAAACATGGATATGGCATCTATGATGGTATGAGGGTGCATTAGTGCCAATGTATCTTACACATCTGGAAAGGGACCATCAATTCTGAAAGGTAATACAAGTTTCAGAGCAACATGTGCTCCCATCCATCGTGTCTTTTTTAAGAAAGGCCTTGCATGAAACAATACTTAACTGCATATTGCAGCTATTACAACAACTTGGCTTTATAGCAAAAGAGTCCAGTTTCTGAACTGATCTGCCTGAAGGCCAGATCTTTCACCATCTCAAAATATTTTGTCCCATTATGAAACAAACGATACAACACTGAAGACCCAGGACTGTTGAACAGCAAGAATCGTATATTATCCCCTATTGGATTTGTAAGTTTCCTCACTTCCAAAGAAATGAACTACCTCCAATTTTTATGGTAGTTTCATTTTAATGAAGAGAAACAGAATATCATCTAAAAATCCAGAAAAACACCTTACTTGAAAGTTAGAAAGTGATTTGCAAGGCATTGAGTGAAATTGGTATTTGATCTTTAAGCAAAACATGAAGTGGTACTTGGTGAAGAAACTTCTGTTGGCAACCACAGTGGTAATATGCTTCTTGTGGTTGGGATTTTGGGCCGCTTCTCTCACCCAAGACTTGAGTAGGGAGACCTGCAAAATTTCAGTCCATTACGGCATATTATGTTACCAGTAGTGTCCTTGGCCACTGTGGTCCCAACTGCCCTCAGATCATTAACTAGTTCCTCCCGTATAGTTTTGGACTGACCCACAGCTTTTCTCCTGATCATCTTCAATGCCATGAGGCACTGTCACCTTCTCACCAAGCTTACTGCTGATGGTCTTGTAGCCCATTCCAGCCTTGTGCAGGTCTACAGATTGTCCCTGACGTCTTTTGACAGTTCTTTGGTCTCACCCTTGGTGGTGGAGAGGTTGGAATGGAAGAAATGGATTCTGTGGACATGTAGCACACATGTCCACAAGATGAGTTGCAATCAGGAGTATTTGTAATTGATTGATTCATTGACTGGTTTTAATCTGCGTGTCACATGGGCACACAACCAATCTGTGGGAGCCAGAGTTTTGGCTGGGTTGTAGGGGGTAAAATGCTTATTTCACTCAATAATAAGCAAATCAATTTACAATTTTCAGGTATGTGGTTTTTTTTTCTGAATTTTTTAGTTGATATTGTGCCTTTTTCCATTAAAATGAAAAAGTCGTAAAAACTAGAGACTGATCATTTTTTGTTAGATGTGAACAAAGCTACAAATTCAGCAGGACAAATGCACAAATAGAGTTATGCAAGCAGCTGAAAGGCTATACAAATACCTTTCATATATTGGATCAGTATACTTTCTTTTATAAGCACACAAATCTATCTGGGGTCAAAACATTTGTACAATGGAGCTGCATATGCGCATTTTATATTACTGACTCACACATCTTCTAGGTCTAGGCAACAGCAGCTGAAGTGCCCAGCAATGGTTTCACAGCAGCCAGTCATGACCTGCTGCCAATCAAAAGTCAGAGATCTGTACAGCTGCGAATCTTAAACACCAGCCTCGTTCCTCCTACATGTCCCGCCGCCCAGGGAGCATCACAGAGCCAATTTATTCATATGTAAATTTTTCATTTTTACAATGTAAGCCCAGCTTCCTTTCAAAACTGCAAAGATTTAAAAACTTCAAATGATAATTTCTTAAAGAAATCATAAGCGATTTCGAAAAATATGCTGATTTGCTTTCTTGCTGTGACTTAGATAAGAAAATCCACGCCAGTCTCACATCTACATGCAGCTGCAATCAACAGGCGGTTAACTGAGCTTATCACAAAGGCGAAAACTGAGGCTGCCTAGCGAGCTGCAAATACACAAAATACAATAAAGCTCAGAAACAAAGTGGACTAACGGAAGAAATCTGCAATAATAGCTGAAACATCTGATGCTTGACTAACAGGCAGAAGTATGCTGTAACTTCCTGTGTCGCAAAGCACGGTAAAAATAGGCAAAAATTACAATAAAACAATGCCCCAGATGTGTCCAGGTTTTTATTATAGCCTGTCTTATTTGCAGTGTTTCTATTTTTGGTTATGTTTTGTATATTTGCAGTGAGCTGCTTTTGACATGTAGGTGGCAGATTACTCAGAGCCAAGCTAGCTGTTTCCCACCGGTTCCAGTCTTTATGCTAACTTTAGATAAACGGCTACCTCAGCCTCAGCAGTTATCTGTAGTTTGGCCAAGAAAGCAAAGAAACATCTCCCCTATAAATTTGAAAGTTGTATTATGTTATTATTCCACTAAAAAAAGAGAGCTAAAATAATCCCCTTTAACTTATCCTGATTTATTGCTGCAGGAGATAATAACTGTTAACAGTAAAACTGTCACCGACATCTTCTCACAGATGTTAAAACTGACATTAGTGAATTATTCAGAGCTAATATTGGCATTCTCAACAAAAACAAACATGCTGAAGGCTGCAGTGGGAGTCGGTGGCAGTCCATAAATCATTCCCAGTTTGGTGCCCAGCAGGATCTTCCTTCCTTCCTTTTTTCCGAGATCTTTACTTTGCCTCGGAGGAATAGCAGAGACTCCCCCAACGTATTGTCTCTGCTGTCATGTGAACTTGCCACCAGATTCAGTCCCATCACCGTTTGAGATGCTGCAAAGCCAAACAGCGGGCTGTGAAAATTGCACACACAGAGGCCAGCATGAGGCTACAGACCAGGGGAAAGTGAGAAAGGAAATTCCTGTCAGGACAAGTCCAAATTTCTATTTTAAGATGCGTGGATTTCCTTCCCACAGGAACCAGGAGAAAAAGATCATCTCGAAGATTCTTTGCTCATTTTTTAAGGACGGCAGATAGCTCCAGCAAAGCTCTGGACCACCCACACCTTTCCATTCACAGACCTGGATGCAGAGTGTAATGGGAGACCTACAATATTTCATCAAGTTCATGAATTTTTACATTCAAATGACTGAAAAAATAATGAGGTAGCTTTAGAATAGAAATAAACTTTATTTTCTTTATTGATCACCTTAATGTTCGCATCAGCATTTTATGTCAACAGTAGATTAAATGATGTGTGCTAGTAAAATGTGCACAAAGATATGAATCATTTATTGTGACGAATTTGCGAAAATTGCCAACTGTGCCTTTCAGCATTTTGGATCACTTTTATGTTTGTCAGCTCTTTGTTATCTTTCCTGCCACAAACTTTCATTCACTGTCTTTTGTCCTCAAATACATAATTTTGAAGAATTGGGCCATATCGCCATTCCTAACAGAGCACTTTTCTTTCAGACGTCAGGCTTACTTGTGGTTCCTAGAGTTTATAAAAGTAGAATGGGAGGCAGAGCTTTCCCCTCACTCCCAGCTCCACCCCTAAACTAGCCTGTTTCTGCAGGAGGTTTCTTCCTGTTTAAAGTGAGGTTTTCCTTCCCACTGTCTCCAAGTTCTTACTCATAGGGGGTCATCTGATTGTTGGGGTTTCTATCTAATATTGTTCAGTCTTTACCTTAGAATATAAACCACCTTAAGCTGACTGTTGTTGTGAATTGGTGCTAATCAGAGCGGCATAAAAAAAATGCTAATTTCTGATACCAAAAATTGTTACCACCACTTAGAAAAAAATGCTTTATAGACGTGCATTTTTCTGAACATGGCCTCTCATGCCTCTGTGAGTAGTAGCTGTTCTAAAAAAATTAAAGGTAGAGGTGGTGTTATGTCCAGAAGGAGGTCAGTATGGATGACCGGGTGCACAAAATGTCACACTTGGACAATGAAGTCTACTGTTTACATCCCTTTAAGCACCACTTAGGTGCATAAACTTTTTTAAAGAGCTATTGTTAAAGAGATTTTGCATCAAAAACAATAAAAGAAAGTACAAATGACAAATTACTTCACTAAGCAGA